GCAGCAGTGGCAGGGGAAGAAGTGGCAGTGGCGGGGGAAGAAGTGGCAGTGGCGGCGGGGGCAGAAGCAGTGACGGGGGCAGCGGTGGCAGGGGCAGAAGCAGCAGCAGTGGCGGGGGAAGAAGTGGCGGCGGGGGCAGAAGCAGCGGCGGCGGCGGCAGCAACAGCAGGAGGTGGCACTCTGACGGCACCCGTCTTTTCTGTTGCTGCTTGGCCTGGCGCTCACCTTGCCCCGCCTCGCGCCTGCCACTCCTCCTCCTCCTCGCTGGCTCTGGCGCGAAGGTTGGGGTTGGCACTGGGCCGCATTACGAGGCGACCTGGGCCGCATGCGGCCCGCGGGCCACAGGTTGGACAAGCCTGGTCTAAATGTTAGTATAAGAAGTGAATTTTCAGTGACATATTTGTACTAAGTGCTTTATAGTACCTAAGCAAATTTTCCACATGTTTTTCATAGTCATTTGCCTTACTGTTCTCAAAGAGAAGATAAATTTATACACTTCCATGAGGGGGTCTTCTTTCACTACTTTAGTGGTTCCCGGCACTGTCCTTTTGGGGTGTACTTCCAAGAGGCAGGATACAAACTTGGCACTGATTTTTTTACTGCCTTTCTGAGGGTGGGGGCATGTGAATTTTCCTTAAATCTGGATGATTTCCTTAGGATATCTTGTGAAGTGAGCTGGTATCTTTAAGCGATGCAAATGGATCTAAGGATTACTTCTCCTGGGTGTGCTCTTTCTGGACAGCTTAAATGACCTCTCTGCTAAAGTTTCACTTTATGAACAATAGTTGACTGCTGATAGTTATCATTGCACTTTAACTATTTTAATTCCTCAAGGTGCTTTGGCACCCTGCCTGATTTGTAACTCCAGCGTGCACGTATTTTTAATCTAATGATTGGTATTTAGGATAGCTTTTTGCAATCAAAGAAGCTTTGTATATTTTTTTATAAAAAGCTTTTTATATTTTTGTACAAGTAATCCTTGACTTACAATGATCATTTAGTGACCATTCAAAGTTACAATGGCACTGAAAATAGTGACATGACTATTTTTCACACTTATGACTGTTGCAGCATCCCCGCTGTCATGAGTGGCCAGGCGAGGAGAAGCACCTCTTGATGTGAGTGATGTCACTCACATCCAGTCACATGACCCACCCAGTCACATGACCACCAAGCCACGCCCACAGAACAAGTTGTGAAAAAATTTGAATCCCACCCCTGATGTG